AACTGTTAAATGCCTTTTATGATTATTCACCATTTACGGCTGCATCAGAGCATTTCATCCGTAACCTGCATTATTCAATCTTTTCAATTTGTTTTAGTCTACCTTAGCTTTATAATTTCAGCGTAATTATTTTTTTAATCGTCGGAAAACGATGCTTTTTTGGGTTTTTTTTTATTTAAAAGTTTGGCGATAGGGTTGGATTTCGAATCTACAGGTATTTGGAACGATAACGTTTTTATTTTTCATTGTTTTGTCTTTGGTTTGCTTTCTGGGGTTAATAACATCATTCAGTATGTATTATAACCTTTTGTTAAGCGACTGTCTGAATTTAGGTAAAATGTTCTTCTCTTTCATATTATGCAATGGATTTTTACATTGTAAAATGAATTTCAAGGAAATTTACACATATTTTTAATTTTTTTTTTTTTTATAAAAAATAACTAACCGATTACAGATTCTCTTACCAATTACCATCGTTCCGACCGAGTAACCGATTAACCGGTCACAAATTGTAATCCCTAATATACTTCCATTCCTTTTTTACTATGATTCTTCTTATTAAATCTTTTCTGTTCTCCCATTCTGAATAATCCTGTCAAGGAACCCTCCTTGAAATATTTTTGCCCCATCCCCTTCATTTTTCTAGCGGTTTGTTTGCTCAAATGTATGCTAATAACTTTGGCGGAACTTTTTTTGGCGGACACACAGTCCCAAGACTTTGTAAAAATAAGGAAATTCGTCTTCTAAATGCGATTTCAGTACGTTTAATATAGTACGTTTGAATATCAATTTGGGCAAGGGTTTGAGTAAAAACCAACACCAGATGAAAGATATAATGTTTAACAACAGACTGAAAAGGTTATTTTTCTTGTATACAGTCTTGTACAAGCGTGCAAATTAAGCGATTAAAATTTTAGCGGACTACTTCAAATCCGCTAAAATAAGCCAAATTTAGCATCCAGCTAAAAATTCCCTCATCTCCGTATAAACAATCAAAGACAGACATTTTTGTTTATGTTAATATCTGTATTAAATATCCATATAAGGTGAGTGAAAGTACGTAAAAATATTGTAAAATCACTTATTTTCATGGAGTTCAATTTTACGTTGTTTCGTGGTTTGAAGAGACCAACGAATATATGTCCTCCGAGAAATTTCAAATTTCAAATTATACATTATTCTGTTTTCTTCAAACACAAAAATCAAATCCTCATAATTTTTTTTCCTTTTTTCCAAAATATACAGCGGGTGTAAACATTACTGTGATAAATCAAATGAGAAGAAACCAATAGTTTTCAAAGGGGTAAGATGTAAGATGTTAACAGGTCTCTTTGTTGGCCATGGGAACGTCATGCTATAAAGCGCTTTGTGAAGATTAAATCAACTTTAATCAATCAAGATATAATCAACATTCAGGCTACCAAGATTAAATCTACCACATGTGAACGTGTTATTTTATACATCTATTGTCAAATTGGAATCGTTTTGATATTTTCTTAATTGTCAAACAGAAAATGACTAGACTTTACCTTTGTTTTACAATATCACTAGCTTATCAAACAACTAACTTTTTTTTTGGGGGGGGGGGGTTCAATTTGTTTTTCTGTATGTTTTTTTTTTCCTTTTACGTGTGTGTTTGTGTGTAAAACACAGGATCCAATTCATTAAATATGTAAGGCATGTATTATTTTATATTCTACCTGTATGCCCTTTATTAATCAAAAGAGCTATATTAACACATTTGAGCAGCTGTCTAAAGTAATTAAATCCAATTAAAGAAAATAATTCAAATACACTAGTAACACTGGACTGTATGTTTCAATGAAATGAAATATATAGAGATATCGAAAGCATTTAAAAGAAAAAAGAAAAAATAAGATTAATTTGCATATTTTTTTCTAAAATGTCATTAGAAAAATATTTAAAAACATCTATCTTCAAAATTTGAAAAATAAAGTGGATTGTGTGTAATTTTATGTTTGAAACAAATATCAAAGTAACTTTCTAAGTCTAGAATTATATTTCTGATATATCATGAAAATCTATTATTTATTAATTATTACATACTCTGGTTTATGTACATTTTTCAAAATTAATATTGAGATTGTGCATAATACCTACGAAATGATTAATAGGTTGGGTAAAAAACAATGAAACATAAAATTCTAAATCACTACATGTAAACAGTATGTAGCTAAATTATACATTATAAAGAGACATAGATTAAAGAGGAAAATTATATTTAAAAAAATTAAGAGAAACCTTTCTCCTGATAACAAAAAATATGTACCGATACTATTTTCGACTCTTTTTTAATATTACTTTACTTACCATGAGCTTATTTGTAATATACTATTAAATAAAAACAAGCAAAGTGTTGAGCAAGGTCTTATGCGACATCATCAATTATAACAATATTCTTGGTTTTGCATTGATATATACTAAGCAAAGCCAACAAATAAATCAATTGAATTCGAATCATCATACCTATACTGGATTCCTAAACTACATAAAAATCCTTATAAACAAAGAGACATAGCTGGTTCCAGTAAATGTTCCACCAAGCCTCTTTCTTTACTCCTGACTAAAATATTAACAGCAGTGAAGGAGAAAATTCAGGAGTACTATACAACAATATATACGAGAAGTGGTGTAAATTAGATGTGGATGCTTAAAAAATCCAAGGAACTTTTAGAAAATTTGAATAACACAATTTTACCAAAATCAATAGCATCAAAACGTACGATTTTTCAACATTTTATACAACAATACCCACGATAAAATTAAAGTCCAGGCTTTTGTTGCTGATGTTTTAATAAAAATGGAACTTGTAAATATACTTACCTTGTCATTTGTCATTTACAAAATTATTTTGTTAAAAACATTCTGATTGTACACAAAGTTACACTGAAGTTGATATTGAAAAGATGCTTGAGTTTCTGATTGACAATATCTATGTAGTTTTTGAAGATCAGGTCTTCCAATAATCTGTTGGAATTCCCATGGGTACCAATTGCGCCCCTTTATTAGCAGACCTATTTTTGTATTCATATACAGAGAATTCTACAAGAGAAGAAAAAAAAGCTTTCTGTGGTCTTCAAGTCGACATTTAGATATATCGACGACGCATTATCAATTAACAATAGTCACTTCCATTCATATGTCGATTCGATATATCCCAGTGAACTTCAAATAAAATACACCAGAGAGTCTGACACATCTGTTTATACTTGGATATTTTACTAAAAAAAGACGTTAATGGTAACCTAACGACAGAACTTTATAATAAACGTGATGACTTCAACTTTTCTATCGTCGATTTCTCTTATTTATGTAGCAATATACCATTATCACCTGCATATGAAGTTAATGTCTCCCAGTTGATTCGATACGCAAAAGCATGTTCTACATACGAAAAATTTCTAAAAGGAGGAAAGCTATTGAGCAAATAAGTTGATAAAACAAATATATCAATGGTCTCTTTTAAAGTCAACATTTCGCAAATTCTATGGTCGATACAACGAACTTGTTAGCAAATATTATTATCTATCATTAAGTTGAATGTTGACTGACGTTTTTCATGCTTATTGTTAGACCATAATTTTAACACTTAATTGTCTACGGATTTTTTTTTCGTTTGCCCGATCATGAAAAGGAGCACACGGCGGGCGAGACCGATCGACAGAGGATGCTTATTCCTTCATGGTACCTCTAACGTTTTTACAGTTCCATTTTTGCTTTTCTCCCGTATTATTACAATGGACTTTTGAGCTTCATTACTGTACGTTATCTTCATATTTCTGCCTGGATTGGGGGGGGGGGGGGACAGCAAAAAAAGAAAATTTTCCTTGAACCATCGTTTTCTAGAAATTGTCACAGTCTGAGCTTTCGTAAAATATATGATAAGTTCGGATATATAACCAGATACCACAGGACAAATGATGTCATGCATCAGATAATACCAGAACATTCCTTTAGATATCCTACTTTTATGCATTTGAATAAATGATTAGCATACAACAAGGCAAATGGAGAAAAAACAAACGATTGATTTTTGTGTAAGTGTTTAACCCCCTTTGTTTCTTAACCTATAAATTTTCATTTAATAGAGCTATTGACTTTTTAATGGTATTATTTCAAAGAACCTAGAAAGGAATAATGGAGTGGTACAGAAATCATTTCAAAATTCCACCAATAAAACTAGGGCTGTGCATCTCAAGTATCGATTACATTCAAATAGACCAGAAACGGTAAAACATATACAAATGCACAGCAGATTTGTCTATATAAATCCAATATGGTCAAGGAACTTTCCTCAGTATGAATTAGTTGCATCGGTCAAGCACGTTTCGTAAGCAGTTTAGAGCCGGATTTCTGGCATATCTTTCCCCTGATAAAGCAAAAATGTTCTGTCTTTGAAATAATTTAAGGATTACACTTTACTTGAAATATAAATGATATACAATCTTCGCTAATTCAGAGGTATTTAAAATCAACTGTATACGTGTATAAAAGGAAAATACGTCATTGCGTTCGGTGAAATCCATTATTCTACCTAACACTGTAGGTGCCAACAGTTCTAAACATCAATATTTTATGTAAGATATCACGTGGATAAAACAACATGTGCATTGCTCTTCTATGACCTCCCGGTTATGCCAAAAGATAATCCAAGTTAATCTTACATATCTATGATTTTCAGTCTTAAATTCCAAGTTAATCCTACATATCCGTTTTAAGTCATTTTAGAAAGGCATAAATTGCAAAGATTTTGGGTTTTGCAACCAATTATTTCACTCATTCCAAAGGTGAAAAAATGCGATTATATTGGATTTTTATTATTTTGCCTTTAGGTAAGAATATAACTTGATGAACAGCTTTGTTTTCATTTATTTTATTAATATTCTGTTTACCATGAGAACACTTTTCCTTTGATAATCACAAATGGCCTAATTTCATCATGATTTCAAGAGAATTTTCAGAAGGTTTTTTTTAATATAATGACAGTAAATCAGGGCGTGACACCTGTGATGTCAATTCTTCCCCTCCCCACCGTAAATAACCTGTACACGGCCGACAGAGAAGATTCTTTGAGATCAGACCTCTTTACCAACTACCAGAAGAATTCAAGACCGGCCCCACTTGTCGACATACGATGTAATATGAAGCTTCTGTCCATTAAGGACCTGGTTCGTACATAGCTACATTAAAGATGTTCTTTCTTTAATTTTACTGTTATGTTCAAATTTTATTAATAAGAGATAATTGCAATTTGTTTTAAAATGTCGTCAATGATGGTAGTTATGTTTCAACAGGATACCAGAGAGCAAACCATGTCCTCCGTGGCTTATTTTACTTTTGTAAGTACATACACTGCTTCTGTTTGCAGTGCAGTCATGAAATTTATATCAAGAATGAACAATTATTGTTGTATGGAAATCTTAATTAATGTGCGATCGAGCTCCTGTTTGTGACTTTTGCTTTTTTTTTCCCTTTATTAGATCTGGAATGACACGCGTTTTGATTGGAGTAGTAATTCAATGTATACTGATATTGAAACTATATACAGCACTGAGACCGCAGTTTTCACGCCTCCAATAGTTGTTGAAAATTCGTAAGATCATAACTCTGTTTTATTTTTTCTATTGTCTTGGAACAGTTTTAATTGCACTTTTTTAGCTAAATCTAGAAGGAATAGTTTGATAATAATCTGTTAGTCCTTGGCCTACAGTTTCAAGTACCAAGGATTTCAAATTTTTACAAAGTCAAATGCAAGAAATAAGAAAAATTCAATGTCGCATCCTTTATATAGACATGCATATAAATGCCGACTTTTTTTCAGTGTCAGTAATTTAGGAGTGATAAGTGATACAACATTACCAATAAAGATATCTCAGACAGGAGAGACCACGTGGTCGCCAGGAGACATCTACGTCACGTCATGTGACATTGATACCACTTTTTATCCGTTTGATGAACAGACATGTGTCATAACTTTAACAACACGAGGCTACACAGCCAACCAAATAACTCTTTCATTCGACGAAGTTCCAATTATTCGCTCGGCATATCAAGACAATGGCGAATGGATATTTGTTAAAAGTTCTACAAGTACGTCTCTTTCTTACCGAGGCAACGAAGTCTTTTCTCAGCTTAACTTCATTTTCACACTAAAACGTCGAACAACATTTCATTTATTGAATACAGTCCTACCTATGTTTTTACTTGCTTCCATGGTATGTTTCGTATTCAAACTACCAGTAGACTCTGGAGAGAAACTTGGTTATAGCTTGACAGTTTTGTTGGCGATAGCTGTCTACCTCACCTTGGTGGCTGATAATATTCCAACAACGTCTACGTATACATCATATTTATGTAAGTTCATAATTAAGCTCAGGTCTTTCTTTTATCAACAGCAGTCATTCCCAGTCAGTTAACATTAGTTTGATTTGTCTTGTCTTTTCAGCTGTGTACTTAAATGTGATGTTGGGTATTGCGGTAGCTTCATCCCTGCTGACAATATTCGTCATAAATATCCACTTCACACCTGAGGAGGAGGAGGTATCAGAGTACATACAAAGCCTCGCTAAATTTGGCGCACAAATGGTTTGCTGGAAACACTCTTGTTGTCGCACAACCGACAAATCTACAGTGGATGTCCTCCCCTACACAGATAAGATTGATTTGGAGAGTGTTGCTGTAAACAACAATTGCGAGTTTGCATGGCCAGAGATAGCCAAGATTCTGGATGCTTTCTTTTTTCGAGTTTATGTCTTGCTGATGGTAATTTTGACTACTGCATTTGCTGTTGTTATGGCGATGGGTAGCTGGTATTAACGTAACCAATCCAAATGTACTTTGATTGAAGGATACTGGTGGAATGTTTTTGTCATGATTAGTAGACACATAATACACTTTGACATAAAAAAAAAATGAACGTGTGAACTACTGGTTTGACAAAATTACATACAGTTAATATTAAAAAGATGCTTGAGTTTCTGATTGACAATATCTATGTAGTTTTTTGAGATCAGGTCTTTCAACATACTGTTGGAGTTCCCATGGGTACCAATTGCGCCCCCTTGTTAGCAGACCTATTTTTGTATTCTTATGAAGCAGAATAGAAGAAGAAAACACTTCCTGTGGCCTTCAACTCAACATTAAGATATATCAACGACGTATTATCAATTAACAAAAGTTACTTCCATTCAAATGTGGACTCGATATATCCAAGTGAGCTTGAAACAACAGAAACCACAGCGTCTGAAACATATTTCATATTTGGATATTTTACTTAACTAGAAAAAAAACTTTAATGGTAATCTAACAACCAAACTTATGTAGCAATATACCATTATCACCTGCATAAGGGGTTTTTGTTGTCTCCCATTCGATTCAATACGCAAGAGCATGCTCTACGTATGAACCAATTTCTAAAATGAGGCAAGCTTGAAGTCCTCATTTTGCAAGTTTTATGGTCGATACAAGATCTTGTCAGCAAATACAACCAGTTTGCCCGATCATGGCAAGGAGCACACGGCGGGTGTGACCGGTTGGCAGGGGATACTCACTCCTCCATGGCACCTGACCCTACCTCTGATGTTTTAGAGGTCCATGATTGCTCTGCTTCCAATTTGTATTGTCTAAATGGGCTTTGAGCTTGAATACTGTTCTTTATCTCCGTATTTCATACAAAAATAAAGTTGTCCGGCGGGCTGTTATATATAGCACACCTTATTCACAAAACAAAAACAGGTTTATGGTATTTTTAAAAACTGTTACTAATGAGGTTGGTCTATTTTTTACATCTCTAAATCATAGTTAACCCCTCATTCTATGTTTCACATTACAGTGAAAAACAATAATTTACAAGTGCAAGACGTTGTGTTTCTGATAAATATAGATTAAAGATTTGTAAACTATCACTAAATACAAGTAGATCTAGTCTACGATTTTAAACTCTGGTTTAGTTATGTAAGGCACTCATATTACTTAAAATAAAATGGAAATAAAAGTCGAACATTTGAGAAACATAGTCTTACGAAATAATCTTTGATTTTTATATTGAACTACACATTTTCCGTGAAACTATTACGTTCAACACTATACCTAACGATGGTTTAGTTTGTAAATCTTAGATACGGCGAATCAATGATTAGACCCTAGTCAATGATTAGATACGGTGAACCCTAGTCAATGATTAGATACGGCCAACCCTAGTCAATGATTAGATACGGTGAACCCTAGTCAATGATTAGATACGGTGAACCCTAGTCAATGATTATATACGGCCAACCCTAGTCAATGACTAGATACGGCCAACCCTAGTCAATGATTATATACGGCTAACCCTGGTCAATGATTATATACGGCCAACCCTAGTCAATGATTAGATACGGCCAACCCTAGTCAATGATTATATACGGCTAACCCTAGTCAATGCGTATATACAGCTAACCCTAGGCAATGCGTATATACAGCTAACCCTAATCAATGATTAGATAAGGCTAACCCTAGTCAATGCGTATATACAGCTAACCCTAGTCAATGATTAAATACAACTAACCCTAGTCAATGATTAGATGCAGCTAACCCTAGTCAATGATTAGAAACGGCTAACCCTAGTCAATGATTAGATACAGCTAACCCTAGTCAATGATAAGATATGGCTAACCCTGATCAATGGTTAGATACGGCGAACCCTTGTCAATGAATTGATACGGCTAACCCTTAGTTACGGCGTCCTTACGATTAATCTATCGCTTATTTAAATAATATGCATGCATTTACTTTTTTAAATTATTTTATCGCTGTAATAGTACGTTTCCACTTTAAAGCAAAACTATTATTTAAAATTAACATCAAAAATAAGCAATTAAATCTTTTCCATAAAAAAAGAAGACAAATATTCCAAACGTTGGACTTAATATTATATACTTTGGAGACAGAAGCTTATGAGATGATAGTTAGCAGTAGCAGCGAAGTCTGGGGGGCCTATTTTAAGTTATGCAATCGAACAGCCATTTTCTAGAACAAGGATTATTTTGTATTGCCTATACAGCGATGGATTTTTCGAAATTTTAAATTGAAAAGCATCGTTTACAGATTTTTTAGATTCATAAATTATACCTAACAGCTCAAAACGAGTGTTATAGTTTATAACTATGATTGCCAAACGTTAATGATAGTTTGTTTCTGAAAACTATAGTTTACTACCGTAAATATTAGCTTATAACACTTATTAACAAATGCATAGATGCTTGATACTATTAAAGATTCTAGTATTGGAAATTTATGGTGTCCGGATAGGTCCATTTGCAAAAGCTCAACAGCGCGTTCAGAAAAACACGTCGTCGCGCTAACGCACAACACGCCGTCACGCTAACACACAACACGCCATCGCGCTAACACATTATTGAACAACACGCCGTCACGCTAACACAAGTTCGCACAACACGCCGTCGCGCCAACACACAACTCGCTGTCGCGCTATCACAAAGTTGTGTTAGCGAGTTGCGTGACAGCGTATTGTGTAAAGTTGCGTTAGCGCGACGGCGTGTTGTGTAAAGTTGTGTTAGCGCAACAGCGTGTTGTTTGAAAACGTGTTAGCGCGACGGCGTGTTGTGTATAAGCGCGATGACGTGTTTTGAATAATTGTGTTAGCGTGATGGCGTGTTGTGTGTTAGCGCGATGACGTGTTTTTCTGAACGCGCTGTTGAGCCTTTGCAAATGGCCCTATCCGGACACCATAGAAATTTGATTATTTGTCCATTGCCTTCAACCTTCACATTAGAAAAGGGTGCAAGGATAAAACTAATATTATACAAAATCAGACTGTAAGACAAGACAGATGTTAACTAAGTGCTTTGAAAAAATGCTGGTGTATTACTCAACTAATGATTATGATTCAGAATGTAAATAACTGTGCTGAAAAGTCAGTCATATATTTTGTGAATTAATTTTACCACATTACATGTATAGACAGGGTATGTTTATTTGAATGTTACAAGGTCAGAAGACATTGCAACAAACCATGGTTCAATGACGGCTTTAAGTAATTAAGTACCGTAAGTCAGTATTACGTCAATGTAATTTATGTAAATAGAATTATGCTCTTGGATTTAAAAATTCAATCTTTAAAAGAACAAAGCGAAAGTGTAAACATAATCACGAGGTATCGGGGGAGCAACATTGAATATCTCTTCCTTTACGCGAAGATTGGAATTCATTGTACCAGTTAAAATTGGCCCAGTGGATCTATCTACATAGGAAAATAGAACCTTAAAGCTTCTACAGATTATTTGATTTACCTCATCATACAGAGCACAGGGGCCAGTAACATACTTTGCTTGATTTTACGTGATCAATATATATATGCCGTTTACTAATCAGGCCCGTAGGAAGCAATTTCACTTTGAGGGGTCACAACCATACATTATAAGTGGGGGGGGGGGGGCACTATCAACTACCAAAATTTCTTGACAATCAAATAAAAAAGGTCATCAGACGTTATTATTGAGGGGGCACAAGTATATAGTAGCTATGTTTTCTATAGTATTCTATATGTCGGCAAAATTATTGGGGCACGCCCCTCCCCCGTGCCCCCTGGTTCCTACGGCCATGTTAATTATAGAATTATTAGAAATTCATAAAATGAGTACACGACGTGTATCATGTACTCATTACATGTATGTGAATTTCTAATAATTCAATAATTAGTAAACGACATATATATACAAAAAGGAACCTTTTCGTATATATATTGATCATAACGCAAAACCAAGCAAAATGTATTACTGGTACCTGTGATTCAGGACTGGGCATAAAAAAAAATATCTGTGTTATACATGTACGACTCTTTAGCAACAATGACAGTAACAATAACTAAACCTTTATGTATTCTGGTTCTTTGTTGAAGAATTCTTAGATTTAGTTCAATTTTGACTAGTATACATGATCCTTTTTGATGATGTTTAAATTGCATGACCCTTACATTTATACGAATTGTAAGTCAAGTTTTACAATAGGAAATCAAAGGTAAATTCTTTTAAAAATTCTTTTTTCATTGGTATTCCATTTTTTTAATTAGGGCTGTAGAAAAGTATAGGTTCTCGATTCAAAATATACACATGAGAGTGTTCCAAGGAACGCATGTGTCGCCTGCTTTGTAGCTTCATTAAAGATGTAAATAAATCAGAATGGTCAATTTTAGCTCTCTTTGTCGAAGACCAGAGGATCGAGCTTATGCAACATTAAGGTGTCCATCCGTCTAGCTGTCTGTCCGTCAATAAACAATTTCTGAAGGTGCTACTCCTCCTATAGTTTTGGTCTGATTTCAGTTTAACTTGGCACACAAATAGACTACACTAAGAAACATAATTCTATTTATCGGTTTTTGATTTTCCTGAAAGGTGTTGAAAAGGTTACTAAAAATAGAAATTTCTGTGAAATTTTTCAAAATGCTACTCTTACAGTTTATATAACTTGGCACACAAGTGGACTAAACTAAGATACTAAATTCTGTATATGGGTTTTTGATTTCCATGAACGGTGTTGCCATGTTACAAAAAATAGAATTTTCCTTGAAATACCTTCAAAATGCTACTTCTCCTACAGTTTTGGTCTGATTTAAAAATAACTCGGCACACTAAGGTAGGACTTCATTTGTCAAACCGGCGTATGCCGAATGCGCCGTTTGACCTTTGGTAACCCGGCTTGTTGCTTCATTTGACCGGGGAAGGTTCGCCGGCGTACGCCGATCTCGCCGGTCTGAGATGACCGGCGAGGAGTTCGCCGGTCTTAGAAATATGGCGGGAAGATAAAACAACTTATAAAATGCAGACACTTTTTATCAATTCGGCATGTTCTTTAATTGTTTATTATCTTGAACAAATCTCCATTCATATATTTAAAATCCGTTCTTATTTTCTAAAAATAATTTTTTTCATGAGGTCCATGATTTTTTTAAACATTGAATTTCTAATTATCCAACCTTTTTTTTCGCTAAGACATAACGTAAAAAGTGATAGATCTTAATTAATTGATTGTTATATAGTATAATTATTTTTTGTTTTCGCCACTTCATTTGCCAGTTAGCCGTTTTACGCCGATCATATGACCGGCGCAATTCGGCGTAGGCCGATCTGTGACAACTGAAGTCGGCCCATTTAGACTATATTAAGATACATAATTCTGATTACAAGTTTTTGAATTTTATGAAGTGTTGCCATGGTTACTAAAAATAGAAATTTCTGTGAAATACTTTCAAAACGCTACTCCTCCTACAGTTTTGGTCTGATTTCAATATAGTTTGGCACAAAAGTACATTACAATAAGATACATACTTCTGTGTATCAGTTTTTAGCTCACCTCAACGAAGTTGGGGGAGCTTATGTAATACCCTCGGCCTCGGCGTCCCAGGTTAAAGTTTTTGGAGCAGTTTTCTTTTCAAGTACTTCTATACCCTATACTAATCAGAGATGCATGGAGGATGCTTCTAGTCTGTTTCATTGTACCAGTCAAGGTTTCAGATGCAATTTCAGCTAAAGAATGACCAGGATAATGTTTTTGGAACAGGTTAAAGTTTTTGGAGCAGGTTAAAGTTTTTGGAGCAGGTCTCATTTCCAACTGACTATAGACCCTATATATTTATCAAATTTGTAAGGATGACACATCTAAGGATGCACACTACTGGACTTGCTTCGGATGCTGGATCTGATCTATATTTTCCGGATGAGTGACCAGGTTAAAGTTTTTGGAGCAGATCTCATTCCCAAGTAACTATAAGCCCTATATTGACCAAACTTGCATGGATAATACATCTAAGGGTGCATACTACTGGACTTGCTTCGGATGCTGGATCTGACCTATATTTTCCGGATGAGTGACCAGGTTAAAGTTTTTGGAGCAGATCTCATTTCTAAGTAACTATAGGGCCTATCTGAACCAAACTTGCATGGATGATGCATCAAGGGTCGAACACTCTCAAACTTGCTTCAGATGCTGGATTTGACTTACATTTTCTGGATAAGTGACTAGTTTAAAGTTTCTAGATAAGTCCATTCCCAAGTAACTGCAAGCCCTATCAGACCAAAATTGCATAAATGTTGCATCTAGGGATGCACATTACTAGATTATTAGTTTAGTGTGGGACTTTGCCTTACTTAAAGACAACATTCATTGAGGTGAGCTCTGTAATCTCTGATTACCTATGTTTAATTTTGATGAGCGGTCCTGCCAAAGTTACAAAAAATAGAAATTTCTGTGAAATACTTTCAAAATGCTACTCCTCCTACAGTTTTGATCTGAATTCAATATAACTTGGCACAAAAGTAGATTATACTGATTTACATAATTCTTTATATCTGTTTTTGATTTTAATGAATGATGTTGCCATGGTTACTAAAAATAGAAATTTCTTTGAAATACTTTTGAAATGTTACTCCTCCTACAGTTTTGGTCTGATTGCAATAAATCTTGCCGCAAAAAGAGACTAAACCAAGGATCATTATTCTATTTATTGCTGTTGCAAAGTTTCAAATCCAAGCGCTACTTTTCTCTTCCTTTGTTATAAGTACAAACCAGTAGAGCTAGAGTCTTATCAGAGACTTCTGGTTTATTTACTAATAGCATGATAGTTAATGCAATTGCTTGCAAAGAAACAATGGCAACCATGGATAGTATAAGACTCCGATAGAATCTGACAATCAAAGAAAATATGGTTCCATAACCCGCAGATAATAATTAAATTGAAATTATTAGAAATAACTATTTATCATTTTTTAATATGTGTTTCCAATGTAATTTTCTCCTTTCCTGTTACAGATTTGGTCCGTGACCAGGATAAATCTGTAACAGGAAAGGAGAAAATGTATGGCTGGACCGGGAATCGAATCCAGGACCCCTGCATCACTAGTCAGGTGCTCTACCGACTGAGCTACCCAGGACGATATCCAAGGCCCAAACCATTACACCAACAATCCTCCGAAAGATATTTCAGTTTGTCTTTACCGCAATTGTCAGTCTACACTATCCATAGTGGAATACCAATCCCGATGTATTTTCATAGTACATGTATTTACACATAAGTTTGTGTGGTAACTGAATATCATACAGTTTCAAATTACAGTATCAAGCTAAAAAATGTGTATAAATGCTAATTATCAAAATCCTGCCTCTCAAAATTCAAAAGTCTTAGGTTAAATTAAACTGCCAGGAGTATTTTTTGCAAAGTAGGTCAAAGGTCAAGGTCAAATTGATTGTAATGCTGCTATTTTTTATAATGTCTTATGACAAACAGTGCACACGCTAAATAGCATAGATTTACCTCTTAAATGTCAAAAATATGCTGTATATCAGGACTATGAACTACATGTATTTTAAAAATAGGACAAAGATCAAGATCAAGGGTCACAAGGTCAGTAACCATGATAATTTACAAAAGCCATAGTGCCAAGCAATTTATGTGCAAAATATCAAATCCATATCTTTTACAGTTCTCGAGATATAGGGTGTGATAGACTGTCAGACAGATACCGGGTAAAGTGATCCCTGAGTGCCGCTCAGCTCTGCAGGTGAAACAAAAATTATATTCAGGGATATATAGATCCCTGGTATACAAAAGACTTGATACCATAATCTATTCAGTATATGCATTGTAGATTACAATTGTTGAAATAAGTTTAGAGCAAAAATCAATATCAATTGTTAGAAAGTGTTTAGTGAGCATTGTGAACCATGAATCTCTTGGTCTGATTTAGAGAGATAATCTGTGTCTCAGGACAGGCCTGGGTCCATAGAACATTTATCACTTTAATGATAGAACATTCTAATCTATGTCTGATTGAACTGATTTGAACACAGATCCATACTTCAAAATTTATTTTCTTTTCAATATAAAATAGAAATCAGTTTTAAAGCAATTTAATGTACACACAGCTGTTCAAAAACTGAAGTTTTAAACTGCTCTTGATTCTTACTTTTTTATCAACACAACTGTGTTTTCTTTTTTAATATAAAAAAAACATGGTCTCTATCCACTATGTCTGCTGTTATCTTGGAAATGGATTTGGACGACTTTTGCGCATCAAAAAGTTCACTCTTTTAGCCATTCCTGAACCATACAATCTCTTTGCTCTTTCTCTGTCTACCTGTTGGCGCCTCTCACATGGTGTAATGTAGTACTGGTTTCTTCTTATTGCATCTGATATTTTTTCATTCCTCATTAACCTGCAGATTTTGAAATATCAATTTCATACACAGGTTCTTGTGTCTTTGTTTATAATTTTTTTCTATCTATCACATACAAATGTAATATCAATAGCTCTTTTACCTATATTTATTTGTACCCAGTAACACAGATTACATAAGCTTTTGACTAGGACGAATTATTTCATTTATTTGACTGGTTACAATGGTTAACAGGTTCGGTACAATCACTACATGTAGCTATGTAGCTTGAATTACCTTTGTAGCTTTATTTAGCTACTTGAAATAGCTATATTTAGCTATTTTAATGCAAGACAAAAAAACTGCAAGTATGTGATTAAATATAATGTACTGCATGTATGAAATTTTAAAAAAGCAACCCCAGCAAAGATACTTTAAACAATTCTGCATTTAAACATTTTTAAAGTAAAAGATGTATTTCCATTGTTTGAGTAACTGTACACTACCTTGTAAGCGGTGAGGCATGGATATGTCTGATTACTTCATATTGTGTTATATTATAACTATCAATTATCATCTTAATGGACATTCGTTTTACCGAGAAGCCATTGCGAGACATCACATCAAACCCAAACCTGACAGATAATTATTAAGGAGGCTGGGGGTCAACAAATTAACCATCAGTTATAACTTAATTTTTTAGATATGATATCTTAAGCTGTCAACTATCATTTGGCAAAGAAAAATGTCATACATTTTAGTTTTAAAATTTGATCATTTTTGTATATCTTTATATGGAGCTCTTCTTCTAAAGGAGATCAATATAGTCTGAAAATGGCCACAACCCCCTAGCCCTCTTAAATTAAAAAAAGATAGAGAATAAACTTTAAATTATTTCCCGTTGCTTTATATTATCACCAACTTACCAAAGTGTATCAGCAAAGTTGTTGGACATGACGAATTTCTTTCTACTTACTCAATACTTCAATTTGCGCGCACATGCAACTGAAATTATCGCCCTTTGTTTTTGAACAACTCAACATGGTTTTTCACCATAAAAAAATAATCGGGGGATATTAAGTATTATGATTTATTCAATTTATTTATAAAATAAAATATGTATAATAATTGACATATTATTTATTATTTTTTTTATTTAAGACAATCGAATAATTATCTGTCAAGTTCGGGTTTGATGTGACGTCACGCAATGGCTTCTCGGTAAAACAAATGTTTACGCGAAATCGAAGAAAGTGGGTATTGACAGCATTCGAGAAGGGTTAGAAAGCAAATTTTAGTAGAGAAATGTTGTTCGATATGAATGCTGACGAGCTGTATTGAATAAGGGGTGGGTAAAAGCAAATTGGTCGATTTCTCCAAAAACGCGTTGCATTCCTGTTCGCTATGCTAATGCATAGCTCATGGCTTGGTCAATCGAGTATTTTTATTGACTTTATTGATAAAATTGCAAACTCCTGTGCTAGAACTTGTTGAAGTGCGAGGGTGTCCGATGCATGGTGAATTCACCCTACTTCATTCCTTGGAGTCTAACATAATCAATGTTGCCCTCAACCCCAGTCAACAGGTCCGGCACAATCTCTTGATTAAGCTATATAGCTTGATTTAGCTATATAGCTTTATTAAGATATTCAGAATAGCTTGATTTAGCTATTTTATCACACTTTTTTCTCAAATGTGTTATTTTCCAAGTATGCACAAAAAGTCGCACCTTGGTGCAGTGATGATATTCAACCTTGAACTCTTATGAAAATAATGCATGTAAAAATCACTCATCAAATTGTGTCTCCTTAAGAGACTTTGTACTCAAAGTTCTAAAATTTTTGGGGCTATATAAAGCAATTGATACAGTTACTTCTTCAATGAAATTATAAAGGAGGCCAATTATGGTCAACAAGATAATTGATTGGTAATAATTCAGTGCAATGAGAAGCAATCATACTTATCCATGCCTCAACGCACACAAGGTAGTGTACAGTTACCCAAACAATAGAAATTCATCTTTTGCTTAAAAGTATTCAAATGCTGCAATGTTAGAACTATCTTTGATTTGGGTTGTTGATTTGATGTTCCCATAGGCCTATTACATATATGAATAGTCAAATACTTGTGACTTTTTGTCTATTTTGTACAAATAACATTTTTGTGAAAACCTGCATATAAATAGCTTTATCAAGCTATTTTGAATAGCTTAATAAAGCTATATAGCTATTTCAAGCTATATAGCTTAATCAAGAGATTGTGCTGGACCTGGTCAATATTTGTATATTATTCATGATTGGGTAAATGCATTTCGAATTTCCTCAAATAAAAAAAAATCCAGAGGTTTGTTAGTTTGTAATACTTCATTTTGTTTACTTTTTTCAACATACAGTTAAAATAATTTGAATAAAGTATATTCTTACCTATTAATGCTATTTAGAGCATCATCAATTTCGTTATTTTTTACAAAAACAGTACGAGAAATGAATCGAAAATGTCTCGACATGGCGGGCTGTCGGGGTGCATTAAGTCGTTCTTATATTCCATGTGGAAAATTCTCTTTTTGAAAAATCAAATACTGTGCATAATTCATATTAATGTTGAAGTTTTTGTTGTGTATCTTGACTTATGTTAGATACGAATTTGCACTGGTTGCATTTAATGCTTGAATTGGAAAACAAGAGACTATTGTCGAATATATTACGTTTGTCTTAACTAAAAATACGCATTTCCGGCAAGATATCATTTTAGTGGAGGGAATTTCCCGAAATTCAAGTTTGTAAAAAGTACAAATTTGGAAGACACTTGCTACTGTTTAATGTGTTTATCAATTGGTATTTGTGTAAATATTTCAACCACCTCAGTCTTACCTTTAAAAATCTTTGCGCGGTCACCACCATGAGCATATTTGGAGGAAATCCTGGCGCAAGTAGTGGTGGATTCACTTTTGGTACCCCAACATCTACCCAGGGAGGTAAGCATTGACATTATTCACCTATTTACTGGCTATGAGGACAATAGCAAGTTTATCGTCCCCCAATAGAGCAACTATTTTCTAGAGCTGAAACGAATACCAAAAATTAATATTCGAATATTCGGGACTACTATTCTATTCGAATGTCAGACAGCTCGACCCATTGACACCTCGGACCAACGACATCTCGACCCATTGACACCTCGGCCCCAACGGGTCGGCCCAAGATTTGAGACACCTCGGCTCATGTAAAAGACACCTTGGCACAAACAAAAATGTATTATTTTAAACATATTTATTTAATATATTCTGAAGTATTTTATTATTATAGGGACTATATGCGACGGATTATATTATTATATATCCCTGAAATAAAAAAAAAAAAACAACAACAATAAATGAATAATCTTCCGAGAGTAAATTGACGGTAATTGAAAAAAAATTGTCCATCACAAAGTGCTAATCTTTAAACAAACAAGAAGACACAGCGCATCCTTTGGAGTCTCATGCGCGTCATATGGGGTGGTGACAATGAGGAGTTAATTACGAGCAGGCTAAATTAATCCAATTGTTGGGTACAAACCACATATCTACCTTGGTTGGTTTAGGGAAATATATCCATTATGCTCTAATATTAGGCCTAAAAAAAATTATGTTTGTTTCCTGTAACATTCCCAAAAAATCAAGGGTCGGTAGGTTGGGATTTTTTTTTTTTTTTTTTTTTTTTGCTTATGAATGGGGTCAAACATCCCCAGACTGAATTAACCAGGTGTTATATTTACAGCGGACACCCAACATGGCCGTCTAGCGGCAGAAAACGAACTTCAAATAGTTGTGGGGGAAATGCTTGATGTTACAAAAACAATGTCTTTATCAGGGATGGGGTCAATTACTTTAAAAATTAATTAATTAAATTACAATTACTTTGACTTTTTCTTCAATTAAATTACAATTAAATTACAGGCTTTCTAAGACATGTAATTAATTAAATTACAATTACTTTGCAAAAGTAATTAATTAAATTACAAATTACATTTTTTAAATTTTTTGAAAATTTTTATAATCCTTGTCAATGAATATACAGAACATCATTTATTTGTATATAAGCTCAGCCTCTGCACAAACAGTACAAGAAATAATATGCTATATATAGGCATTGTGTATCGTTCTTGGTTTAATTAAATTTTATAACATTTATTTACAAAACAATAAGAATCTCCTTAAAGAACTATCCCAGTTTGCATGATGCAGTTTCCACCACACAAAACCTACATGTACACAAATTGCATGGCTTATGATATTTGATTAAAAGTGAGTATTTTAATAGAGTGAAATGAATCGCAACTGTAACCCCTCAAATTAAATATTTCCTTTGAAGGTAACCTGAACATCCTAAATTGCTATTTATGTTGAACAATTTTACTTTATAAATCAGAATTGTACAGATAGAAAATTCATTCATAAAAATCTGTTTAGATGTTAAAATAATTATCAAATTGAAAGCTTTTTTTTCTAAAGCTAGCAGAGCATTTTAAATTGAAATAATTATCTTCATTGGCTTTGTCTTCTAAATCATGGAATGAATATCTCTTTAGAGGAGTTGATTTGTTTTGATTGCAATTTAAAGCTGTGATCTGGAGGGCAATTATCTCTTCCCAACAAGAGAGAACTTAATTAATGACACACACCTTCTTTTTCTTTATTTTTGATCAAACAACAAAGATTGAAATATAATAAATGTGTGTTTCATAGCTGAATAGACCTAAGATAGGTGGTTCAAAATTCATATTTATAATCATAGATAAAAAAATTCAAAATTTACATAATGATTAGAAATAAACTAGTTTATTATTATCAAGCCAATCATTTAATTATTTTGTAAGCATTAACCTAAGATTTTGTATAAATGAAGGATTGAGGATATGTCAATAAAATAAAAACCAGTGAAATGGGGAGGTAGTGGTGACGATATATCATGAATATATCATGAATGTGTATTATATAAAGTAATTGAATGTAATTGAAAAAGTAATTGAAATTATGTGGTATTTTTTCAGTGTAATTAATTAAATTACAATTACAAGTAATTGAAAAAATGTTCAATTACAAATTACTTCCAATTACTTCAAAAAATGTAATTAATTACAGTCAATTACAATTACTTTTTTCAATTACCCCATCCCTGGTCTTTATATTAAAGGTAAATGTTGACTAGTTTGACATATTTTATATCTCAAATAAAGCTACAATTAACATTTTTTGTATAAATTGAATCAGCTGATTGATCAGACAGATTTGGCAGAAAAAAAAATCCACCAGGGGGTAATTTGAATGGGTTGGTCAGGTTACAGGAAACAAACATAATTTTTTTTAGGCCTTACGCAACAAAGATCTATCAGGTTAACGTAACTTCTATCTGTGTAAGGTTAAATTGAGTTTATAAATTTAAAAAAAAGGAATCAATTAAGGCATCTTATTGATCAATACAGAATACCTCAGGACATATGCTTCTGTGCACTGGTTTATACATATAATTATTATATATAGTTAAGTGTAGAATATGCCCCTACTACAAAGTGATTTTTAAGTGAAAGAATTCAAACATTACGAAATGAATAAACTAAGTTGCATTTTCATAAGCAACAAAATAAATAAATAAATAGACCTCCTATCTCCCACTCAATAGATACAGCAGCTGACATCTATGTAGTCCGAAGTATCTGACGTTTTCCAGGCTTTTTTCACGATTTTGATATTTTACGTGCCAGGAAAGCTTTTTTCATGATTTTGATATTTTACATGCCGGGTTTTCCTGGCACGTAAAATATCAAAATCGTGAAAAAAGCCTGGAAAACGTCAGATATTTCGGACTAACATCTATGTCGTCGTTCGTTCAAAAATTCTGAAATATAACATGCCCCTGTTTATCGTATTCATATCGTCACTATAAACATACATACATTTATATTACCATAGTGAATACAGATAACAATTCTGAAAAAAAATTCCTTGGGCTGAGGTGTCTTCATTATGGGCCGAGGTGTCATTAATTTTGGGCCAACCTGTCAGGGCCGAGGTGTCAAACGTGATTAGCCGAGGTGTCGTTGGGCCAAGGTGTCTGTCTTCCTTCTATTCTAGCGTGTTCGAATATTCGTTGATGTTATATAAAAATATTTCTTTCTAAAATGTTATAATACCTACCATTTGCAGACCATCGAGAATTCTGTATACGTATATAAATTTATCAATATAGTTACTTGACATTACACTGTTCATTATTTTAGATAAGGGTGCTAGTAAGTCACTGCGCTCTAAAACCAGAACGTCCCATGCATGAGCGCCCCAATGGTTTTTACCAGAGCCCAAGTACAAATATAAACGCCCCTATTCCTCTCATGAGCGCCCCAAATTCATTTTACTAGTGCCCCAAATAAGCATTTTGTTTGCCTCAAGACTTGTAACCTAGTAAAGAAATAAATTATTGCTTTTATTACACGTCGATGTTAATAAAGATTAATATGAACAATTTCATTTCATGAGCACCACAAGCGCACCAAGATTTATATATCACGAATGCCCCACAATTTGTAAACTGTTGATGTGATTTTGAAAAGTATTCAAATTCTTTTCAATGTTCGTTTGTAACCTGACCAAAATACTTTTTGAATGAAACAAAGACAACATAGTGAAGTTTGATCTTAGATTTTAAATAATTACATTACCAAAGACTTATCACCAATGAAATAAAACATTAGTAATACACTTTATTAAAACTGACATATGGAATCTCAAAACATGCAAGACAGTCTCTTGCCAATCCTGTTAGTATATAGATTCCTGCCAGATCAACCTTATGACAATTAAGAAAATAATAAAACTACATATATTGAAATATTTATAAAAATATATTTATATCATCATTTTTAATTACACAAATAATTAGAATTTCATATAAATAGAAAATATTTGAAATAGTTCCTTAATGAAAGAAAGTCAAACACTTTGTCAAGTTATTTTCAACTTAACATATTAAGCCAATGGCAGCATAGATTGAAATGAAATGTTATTGCATTATGAGCACCCATGGTGGAAGATTGGACAGAACTTACAATTATTTGGGGTGCTCGAGAATTAAATTTGGGGCACTTATGATATTGTATATGGGGCGCTCGTATTGTACTTGGGCGCCGGTAAAAATCTCTGGGGCACTCATGCATTGGGCGTTCTGGTTTTGGGATGAAACAAAAAGTTGAACATTTACAAAGAGATTTTCATATCTCTATTTTAAGCTAAAATTGTTGTGTTAGATAATAAAAAAATAAACCTAATATGTCAGTTTTGTTTTTGCAAGCATTTCCTCAAAAGAAAAAAAAAAAAGAATATATGACACAAATTAATAGCCGCTAAGCAGTTATAAAACATTTCTATAACTAAGTAAAAGTTTTGGGGAAACAAGCGGAAAGAAGCTTTTTCACGTAAGATATGCTGAAACTTTTTTTCAGTGGTGCCATCTCGCCCTATTTATTGGATAGGCCTTTAATTCTATATGATGCAAGTTTGGAAATGTGGTGGGGTAAAATGTGAAAATTTTAAACTTAAAAAGAACATTCATAAATTAGTCACTTGCATGATTTAGTAAAACCTGTATGAATAGAAGAACACATTGAGATGGGAGGCACATGATTTGCAATAAAATTGGTAGGTGTAAATTACTAAATAAAACTCCAAATTGTGAAATATCTTGAGCATATACAGTGTTTCCCTTTATTTTAAAGTAAAGGGTTATTGATCAGTTGTAATAAGCTTTGGGTTGAGGTTTATGACAAATATCTGTGGACCTTACAACAATTAAATTTTGATTTAATTTTTTTCATTTCAAAGCTGCATTTTTATCAATTGAAGTTGTCAATTTCTTCCGGTAGCTGGTTCTTAGGGAAAGCACTGCATACATTCAAAATTATATACACTAAGAATAATTATATACATTCTTTGTTTAAATTTCTATTAATTATGTAGAAATGGCTTTTTAAAATTAGATTCCGATTGTAATGCAGTCATCAGGTCGGTGGAAGCATCGACAGGATAAAGTAGCCATAAATACTAATAATTATTTAAGTTCTACTTAGAGGAAAGTACAGATATAATTTTATCAACAAAGGAAAGTCAGAAAACATGCAAGTATTACACACATGATGAAATATTGGAATACTAAATTTCCATTCAAATATTCGCCATTTACCATTCATTCATGGATATTCGAATATTTGTTTCACCTGTATCTCTTGATATTGATGACTTACAGATCAAGTTCAATTTTCGTGACGATTGACTCATTTTTACCAAAGTTATGTCCCTTATGACTTTGAAAATTTCTGATAATTCACTGTTTTTGGACTTTTTTTGATATGCTTATAGATAACGTGTTGATTTTTTTGGTTTGTCTCTTAATTGATATTGGTGACTTACAGATTAACTGAGTTTTGTGATGATTGACCAATTTTAATGAAATTTAGGCCGCACAGCTCTTAAACTTTCAAAACTTTAATATGATAATACAATTTTCCAAACTTCTTTTTCTTTTGGCCATGCTTGTAGATAATAAGTTGATTTTTGGTCTCTCTCTTGGTATTGATGACTTACAGATCAAGTTTAAGTTCCATGATGATTGACCCATTTTTGCCAAAGTTAGTATCCATAGACTTTGAAAATTTCTGATAATTCACTGTTTTCCAGACTTTTATGCTATGCTTCTAGATAGTGAGCTGATTTTTGGAATATTTCTTGATAATGATGACTTACATATCAAGTTTGAGTTTCCAAATGATTGACCCATCTTTATGCCCTGCCATGAATATGGCAGGGGCATATAGTGTTTTTCATGTCTGTCTTCTGTCCCACTTAATTTAAGTTCAGTTTTATACAAAAAAACTCTTCAAGATATTATTATCAAACTTCATGTGCTGATACATAGTAATGTGAGGTTTTCCACTTCAACATTTTTTTACCTTGACTTTTCTTTTGACCTTGACATAACTTTTCTTTACGGATAGCAATTTGTAATTGGTTAACCGTTTATTCAGTCAGAACGATGGTAATTGTTAGGAAATCTGTAATTGGTTAATCAAATTGAAAAAAAAATTATATATATGTAAATTTGAACACTGTATCCTGAAAATTCAATAAAAAAAAATACTAATGAAAATATCTTAATTTAAAAGGGTCTCCAGATTGACATCGCAGGGGATAATTGGTCATTTGTTAATTGCTGTTCAAACACCATGTCATTACCCAGTTTGACTTGTGTTTTTTTAATGATTTTAATTAAATGATCGTTGAGTACTGTAAATGGATTATTATGTGTACCTAAGCCCTACTATCCTTTGTAGTTACCTATTAAATAAGCAATAGTACATACTTAGTTTTGATTATGGAGACAACTTGTGTGACATCTCTTGATTTTCTTTAAAATGTATATGATATGCTAGGCATGTTTCATGAGAATTTTTTTTTTCTTTTCTTTTTTAATTTTTATTTATTTATTATTTTTTTGCCTATCAAAATATTGAAATAGAACATATAAAGTGTTCTGATCCAATAATAGCTTAAAATCACTACACGTAACATCTCGTTTATTTGAGTAAAGCAGAGCTTACAATGATGGGAATATGTTGAAGAATTTTTATATGATTAACTGTCTATTCGGTCAGAAAGTCTGGCAATTAACTGATTGGCAATTTTGCATTCGATTGCCATCCATACTTTCCTTAAATTATTGTTAAGAATCTCAGTTTCAAAGAAACCATTTAAGATATTTTCACTATCCCTAATATACTGATACATATTTGTGATAGCTTTTCAACTGCATCAAGATTTTTTTTACCTTGACGTCTCCTTTGACCTTGACTTTAAATTTGTGTTTAGCTAAATTTCAAAAAAACTATTCAATATATTTTCATCAAATTTCATATGCTTATGCATATGATGAGAGCTATTTAATTACATCAATATTTTGACCTTGACATTTCCTTTTACCTTGACCTCACTTTTCTCAAATTTTTGTTTAGCTAAGAAATTTTATTGAAAAAGCTCAAAGGCTTCTTGAGATATCGTGCAGAAAAGAAAGTGTTACAGACAGACAGAAATACAGACAGATGGACAGACAGACCCAAAATAATATCTCCCACTTTCAGTGAAAGCATGGGACACAAAAATTACATGGTACAGCTTTTGTGTGTTGAGAATAGCTGCTGTATGATACCCTGGTGACTCAGATTTTATTTTACTCTAGTTAAATAATTTTTTACTAATGGTAATGATTGTAAATGATACATTTAATAGCATACTATTGTACACATTTATAACTGTTTTTAGCTCCTGTTAGTTCAAGTACACCTTTAGGGGGATTTTCGTTTGGACAGAAGCCTGCAACAACAACTGCAGGTATGAAATAAAAATGTAAAAAGTAGTTGAACAAGCTCTTAGTAATAAGTAATTAAAGTACACATCCACAGCATCTAAACAGAAGAAATGATACATTTAATATAAATCCTAATGCATATGATTTATTTTGAATTTTTAAAAAACTATTTCTCTCTGACTGGTAAACATATTTAGAAAAGAGCATGTTTCCTTTTCAAAAGTCATTATATTAGAATTCTTTGTTCTTTCTAGCATCAGCCACACCATTTGCTATGGGCATTCAGCCCCAGGCCTCCACCCAAGGGTTTCCTTTTGCATCGTCTACCTCCACCAGTGCAGCAGCACCTGGGGGGTTTACGTTTGGATCAGGGGGAGGAGGAGTTATGGGAGGGGGCACTCCAGCCACCCCCGCTGCCCCCTCCACACAGCCAACTGCTTCAGCAACCACTGGGCCACAGGTTGGTGGGCTGGCAGGATTTGCTATGGGTAAAATGCCCACAGTGTCCACAGTGACAACAGCAGCAGCCACCCCAGCTGCGGCTCCTACAGGACTGACATTGGGGGGAACCACAGGAGGTAAACAAATGTACATGTATAACAATCCTACCCATGTCTAGTACAGATATATCTCAAAATCTTATTTCTATGTAATGCATTGTGAAAACACTTTAAATGTCTATTTTTACGATAAGAATAAATAAGAAGAAATTCTTAAAGAGGAGTGCCACACCAAAATTTTATTTTATAGACCTTTAAGACATCCCTGATAAGTAGTGGTTTCAGCATTAAAAGGTCAATTTTAGCTCTCAATTATTTAATAAGAATTTTTTCCCTATTTTTAATAGAAAATAAAAAAAAATGTTTTATTTGCTAATAAGATGCTTTAGGGTTAAAATTTTGCTGTTAATAAATGCATAATATGAATGTCTAATAAAATATGATAATAAAGGCTGGATAGACATTTTAATTTTTTAAATAAAAAATAATTTATGAAAATAAAATACTTAATTTATGAATATTTTTTAAATCTGTGGATAAAATCTTCATAAAACTAGTCACAACTATGGAGATTATGTTAGGCAATCATATTTTAAAAAGAAATTGAAATGAAATTGCGAAATTTTAGAGAAATTAATTTCTTAAATTTTAGTCAATCCCAATCAAAATTTAAACTGATCCCAACCAGAATTATGTAATAATTGGAAATAGATATCATTTTTACAAGAATACTAGTTTGTTCAGGTGTAATACAGGTTAAAAAGTAATTGAACTTGAAAATCAAATAGATTTCTCAGTGGTAAATACACAAAGAAGGAAGTAAATTATAATTTTATTTATTTTGTTTTAATTTAAATCGGGATCAGATTAATTTTGATCGGGATTGGTCCAAATATTAAAATAATTATTTTCCCAACAATTTTTCAATTTCATTTCAATTTCTTTTTAAAATATGATTGACTAACATATTCTCCCTAGTTGTGACTAGTTTTATTAAGATTTTTAACAATAGGTTTAAAAAATATTCACAAATTATGTGTTTTATTTTCATAAATTTTTTTTTATTTAAAAAAATAAAATGTCTATCCAGCCTTTATTAACATATTTTATTAGACATTCATATTATGCATTTATTAATAGCAAATTTAAAACCATAAAGCATCCTATATGCAAATAAAACATTTTTTTTCACTTTTTCTGAAAAAATGCAAAAAAAATTGTATGCTAATATCGGTCTTTCATTGCTGAAACCATAGTTCAAAAGGGATTTCTTAAAGACCTATTAAATAAAATTTTGGTGTGGCATTCCTACTTAAATATTCACAATCAATTTCTATCCCCAAAGATTAATGATTTTTTTTTTATTATACTTTCATGTTAAATACTAAAATCTGATTGGTTTAGACGCATTTAACAATCTGTAATGTTACCCTCAGCGTTA